TTGATTGCTTTATATCTTTCTCATTTACTGTTTCACGTATCATGTATTAAAAATTGAATGTAGTCAAGCATATATCTTTTTCTTGCCTATCAACTTTGCACTAAAAAACATTTGCTTCACAAAAATATTTTACAAGAGTTGAATGGAAATATTTTGCCCATATTCACAAATCGCTTTTACGTGAAAAAGAATATTTTTGCTTCGTCCATAAAATTTTCGTAAAGCCAATGAAAAGGAGTAACTTGACTAAAGCCTAAACGTTTTAAAACAGTTTAAGAAGTCGATCGTTAAAAGCAAAAGCAGTTTAACTTTTTTCTATTTAATGAAACAATTTTGATAAAAAAAGTTCGCATTGAGTATGCAGTATCGATTACCAAATACTGACAATCGCAATGTTTATCGTACCTGCAGTTTAACAATAACTTCTTGCGGATCGTGACCAGAATTTTGGGCGAGTATTTTCGGAATTATGAGGAAGGCGTCAGCAAATGCCTATTAAAATATCAATTGAAAGATTTTATAGGCAGAAACAAATGATATCTTTCAAAGTCTAACGAGATAATGCTTTATACTTCTTATAGATTGATACTTATAAGCCTGTAAGATGAAAAAAATTAAGCAGCAACTAAAAGCAGGCTTAAAAACAAAATGAGCTCTTTTATAGAAATAACTGATCTTTAAGTGAGCTGGATGTCTGACTAAGATAGGTTATGAATCAAGACAATCTTATCATCCAACTCCTTGAAGACCAACCAGTAAAACATGTTGTATTCAACTCCTTGGAGAGCAACCAGTAAAACATGTTGTACCCAACTCTTTGTAGACTAACCTGTTCACCAAGTGTTATCAAGTACTTCTTGACTAACATTTACATGAAGTGTTATTTAGCTATTTGTAGACCAACCTGTACACCAAATGTAATTCAACTATTTGTAGACTAACCTGTACACCAAGTGTTATCAAGTAATTCTTGACTAACATTTACATGAAGTGTTATTTAGCTATTTGTAGACCAACCTGTACACCAAATGTTATCAAGTACTTCTTGACTAACATTTACATGAAGTGTTATTTAGCTATTTGTAGACCAACCTGTACACCAAATGTAATTCAACTATTTGTAGACTAACCTGTACACCAAGTGTTATCAAGTAATTCTTGACTAACATTTACATGAAGTGTTATTTAGCTATTTGTAGACCAACCTGTACACAAATGTTATCAAGTACTTCTTGACTAACATTTACATGAAGTGTTATTTAGCTATTTGTAGACCAACCTGTACACCAAGTGTTATCAAGTACTTTTTAACTAACATTTACATGAAGTGTTATTTAGCTATTTGTAGACCAACCTGTACAACAAGTGTTATCAAGTACTTCTAGACTAACATTTACATGAAGTGTTATTTAGCTATTTGTAGACCAATCTGTACACCAAATGTTATCAAGTACTTCTTGACTAACATTTACATGAAGTGTTATTTAGCTATTTGCAGACCAACCTGTACACCAAGTCTGGCGCGACCTTTAATTGTCTTCTTATATTCCATAAGAGTAGAGTAAACCGCAATTTCAAATGCACCGGCTCCAGGTACAACTGCACCATCATCGATGGCGTTCTTCACTGCACGTAAACCATCGTGAACAGCATCTTTGATCTGTGTCACGGTATGTCTATTTGGGCCTGGAAGCAAGAATATTGGACAGGGGAAGTCACATTAATCGAACTAAGCTTTAGAATGAGGTGTGTCATGATAGTCGATCATGCAGCCTCCTTAGTTATGTTTATGATCATAGAAATATGTTTCCGAAACGTATTTAAGCTTGCAACAAGCGTAGGGGAAAACAAGTCAACAATTACCTTTGATCAAAATCGTTACTGATTGAGGATTCTTCACTTCCTCAACAAATGTAAATTTATCTTCTCCCTAAAAGAATGAAAACAGCAGTTCATTATTGCCATTGATGAACAATTACAATGTTAATACAAGAAAGGACAATGTACTTTTAAAGACAACTGACTTCACCAAGATTGCACGCAACCTAACTTTGACATACCAATAGGTAAAAGCAACTGGAAGATCTCAATACTTAATGACTTAAAGCCCAAACATTAACAATTCAAAATAACAATAACCTTGTAATACAAAACATTTGCGTAAGTCTTGCGCCATGTTACTTTTTCTGTATAATAAATATGAGTTAAATCTTACTTACTTCAGTTGTCATTGGAAAGTCTAAGAATTAAAGAAAGGAACAAAAGCAAGTATGAAAACCTTTCGAGTTTTAACTCTGCTATACCGGTGACAAGCCTGGGACTTGCATCGCTTGCCATAAAGAAGATTGGAAAAGTTGTAATACAAATATTTTGTGTTACAAGATCATTGTTGTTTAGCACTGTTAATGTTTAGGCTTTGAGTCATGAAGTATTGACATACCAATACATGTTCATACACAAGACCAGCATGACCAAGACATTCCAAAGTGAGATCATCAAATGAATTCATTGCCATTCCACCACATGCTAATGTTAACCTAAAATATTATTATCATGTATGATGATCAGGCGTAAATACTAGAAATATTGAGTTGTACTCCACAGAGTTCACATACAAATAAATGTCCGTAATGTGCAATAGATAAAACTCTAAGACAGCAAAACCCACGAGAAACTGATTGAAGCCCAAACAGTTAAAATAATTTGCTAGAAAATGAAAAGCGTCTATAGGGGAACAACCCCCCCCCCTCTCTGGCAACAACGCGAGTTTCTATCATTAGTACAAAAGCAAGAAAACATGTTCACGTGAGCGACAGATAAACGGAAAAAGACAATCAATGAAGTAAAGATATTTTAATGCGCATGGTTTACTTCAATAAAAAATATCAATATATATACGAATAATCATACCTTTCCATATTTCGTCTTTTGGCTCTTCTCAATGCAACAATGCCAGCTCTAGCCAACATATCCAAAGAGAATGGATCGATGCCCTAAACAAGCAAATAGTACATTGCCACTCTGCAACCAATCAGTAAGACAGAGATGTATATAATTTTAAACAAAATGTTCATAAAAAAAAACACCAGTTTTTAAACTAATCAAAAATTTGCTTGAACGCTTATTTAAAGTTCACTTGAATTCTATTAAAGCGATGATTTGTGTACCTTTTGATTTATAACGACAAATCCTTTCTCGTTTCCATTACACACCTGTTATAAAGCAATGGTTTTGAGGAATATAAGTAAAGACAACTACCGCTGTACATAAATGTTGCTGTTACTATAGTTTACCTTCTTTTTCAGTTCGATGACTTTACGAACACGATCGTCAATAAACTTTCTCTCGGACGCTACCAACTTTTCACGTTCTTCAGCACTTTTGTAGAAAAATCCTGAATTCACTTCACTACAAGAAAAAGACTTTTAGCGTGAAATGAAGTTGAAAAGATAAAATATTTATCATCTGACAAATTCACTTTAAAATTTTCATAGTATTCTGACTTTATATGTAATTATACAGTACGCAATGATAACGATTTGCATCAATTTATAAATTGCAACGGAAGTAAGCAATTTTTAACTTCTTTTTTTAACAGGTGGAAAATAACGAAATTTATAAATTCTTCTGAATGCAAAATATGTGAATTTAAATGCAAATTTGCGAAGTGCATTGAAAATCATCGTTCATCATGAGCTATAAAAGTATTTATTGACTATATCATTTAATTGGCCACAGCAGACGTTGACAAACATATTGTGAAGATGCTTGAAATGAGTTAATGCGTCAAAATGAAAAACTTTTGACTGTTTTCCAGGTTTATATTATATATTTATACCATTGTCAACCTCGTATAAAACGCACTTCAAATGCTGACGCAATTAAACTCAACCAACGAGCTCAATTCAAGGGCACGATGCAAGGGGGTTTGAGATAAATCGATGACCATAATTGGAGAATGGCAATCGTGGTATTATTTTCAAATTGCATCTACAACCATATATGGATAAATGTGCTACCGTTTCTTATCATCAGAGAGTATTTGGTATGCAAAGAAAGCTATTGTTTCAAACAGATTCTTAAATAACTACATATATGGACACAATGCCATCGTGACTTATGTAATTGTAGACAAGCAAAATTTTGAAAGACCAAAAGGTGGTTTTTCTTAGCACCAGTAATTAGAAATCAGCTCGTTTAATCCCCTGCGCCTGGATCATCACGTTGTAGTCGTGCAGGGGCTTAAGTACTTCGCTGAAGGAAAACTAAGAATGATCCAAACCCGGTCTCCGAACTTCGATGTCGAAATCTCTGAACCAAGCCTCCAACCTCTGCTGGTTTGATGAGACACAAGCTGGCTTGATGAGACACACATGGAGGAGTGACTACCATACGAAACTACTAAATGAAGATATGATCTTCGCACTTTGCTGGACAATTTAAGCAATTGTCTCATGAACCTGAAAAATTCAGGTGACTCAACGGGACTCAATTTAGAAAACTACTACTAGCTCGTTTAACATTTCGTTTCAGTTTCCCAACATAACATAAAAAAATATGGATCGCAATGATCCCTATAAGCTTTGACAACGTTGTACACTAGAATTTAGCAAACTAATCACATGTTTCTGTTTTAGATATCATGCTGCCAAACAAACGAGCATTCATTAAAGACATGCCGGCACGCACAATGTATGATCGCGTGATCACGTGCAATTGTCGGTTAAATAAAAACGTTTTCAAAGTGAACGATCAAACAAATATGAACATCAACCAATCAAAATCACATAATAGTAAGAGTTAAGCAATGCTTGAAAAAGAAAACTATCGCTAAAAAGCGATTCCTTTGTAAAAAAATCATCAAATGAAATGTCAAATGAATAATTTCTTAGACAATGAACTTATTAGTGCATAAAATCATTGAACTTTTGAAAATAGAAAAGTCCATATATGGAAAAACAATTTCAGAGCCAAACCATATATGGACAGAGCAAGGTAAATAGAAGTCAACCTATGTTTCAAGTGAACATTTGTGACTATACAAGGTAATAGAGAGGACAGTTCAGCTCACAAACATCACAGAGGACATCGTAAGATTCTGTGCCTCAAGGAAATTATTTTTCCAAGGAAGAGAAATTTTCTACATAGAGTTAATGTGAGTTAATTAAATGAATTGTTTATTGCTCTAGTGCATATAACATGTACAATTTATTTCTATAAAGTGAATTTATGTTAATCATACAAAACATCATGGAGCAAAGTGAAAAAAATTCATCCATGAAAAATTGAAATAAAATAGTTTTCAATTTGGAGGAAAATTCACTTCAATTTGGCATTTCAAACGTAATAGTAGTATAAAAAGCAGCTAATGTTTACTTAAGCAGTTTAAAAGGAATTTTTAAAGTGTTCTATAAAGGGTTTTATAAGTCGATAATAGACGACAAAGGAAAGTCAACAGACACTGCGTTCAAAGATAGAAAAATATTACTTTGAAATGAAATAATTATTGCTATGAGAAAACAATATGAGCATACAACCTTAGCAATAAAAACGTCTAATTCTATGACCATATGTGGGAATTATTGCAATAAACAAATTATAGAAATGCGCATGCGTAGTGTTTTGCATTAGTTTCGTTTTTACAAAATTTTAGCCACATGCTATTGTGTAATTTCCAAAAACCCAAGATTTTTACATATATGGACTTGTACGAAACTAAATTATTTTTGCAGATACGACTAAAAGGAGTTCGTCGGCGCTTGTAAATGAGAAAAAATCCTTTCAGATTCATCAGAACAAAAGTTTATAGAACAGTTTTCTGGAGAAACGACTATCTTTTGGCTGAAATGCGTGTTAAAATAGAATTCGCTGTATTAGCAGTAATAATTGGATTTTTTGTGGGTTTAATCAAAGGCCTATTGATAGCAGTGGTAGCTGGAATATTTATTGGTGTAAGTATCGGTCTATTGATTGGCATAAAGATTGCCTTCATGATCACAAATCAGTTTGGTGAAAGCTACGATGATCAGTTTTATTGGCTGCAGCAGCTTGACGAATCAGACAACACAGCAGCAATGCCTCTATGAAAAATTTTTGTTCCTAGAACATGCCCTGATCACGTGGGGGGATTGGTCAAAATAAAATCTTGAATCTTGAAATTCAAAAAAAGAGTTCTAAAGTCACAAGACTGAAAAACTGAGCAAAAACGTTGGTTTGTACGCACGTATTGGTAATGACTCATCATATACCTTAAATGTTTGCAATGTATTTTTTTTTGCATATAATTCAATCAAGACATTCGAATATTACCTAATGAATCGATGTATGGCGAACTCAATACATTTAATATTACAATACAATGCATGTTTAATTGAAGTACTAAAGAGTACTGTTAAGCAAAATCCGTAACACAAATAGTATCGTAAAACTTAACTTCGACAAGGGCTTGTCAACAAGTCTTACAAAGAATATCAACTTCTTCAACGAAACTCACCTTTTTTCATACTCCATAGAGACATTACACGTCAGTATATAAGCATCAGTGACTTTTTTTTTCATATCAGGATGTCTTGCGCCATGATCCATTACCAGACCACGAACAAGTCTATAAAACAATGCAGATTTTTTAGCTTAGTCGACATGGCTCTAACTTTCAATGAAGACACTAGATTGCACGATAGAAAAACTTTTGTGTTAACACAAGATCACTCCTGATGAACACACTAGATTTGAGTGAACAAGCCATGTTATCAAATCCTATAGTATGCTACCAATTTAACACTACGTGTATTCGAATGATATAAAATGATAGAAGCACAAACAAATGCGTACTTTGTATCAGCATCAGATTTATGAATCATCTCCATAATTTCTACCATGTGAAGATCAATATCCTCATTTTCTTTACGAATGGCTAACACAGCATCAACAACAGCCTATGAATATGATGCAACATTGAATATTTTCGCCCAACACTTGTTTTCAAATGGTTATTTAGAAAACAAATCCATATATTAATCTTGCCTCAAATATGAAATTGATGTATGTTGAAAAACTTAGTAAAATTCAACCAACTCATTAGTTCCATTACCAAGCATTCAACTCCTGGAATAATGTGTTTTTTTTTTTTGATATTATCTCTGTCTTTACAAGTCTAGAGATCGAACACGTTTAAAGAATTCGTGTGTGTGTCAACCTCCTTCGTTTTTTCATGTTTTGACGACAGACAGAAACATCACATTTTAAAGAATAATTGCAACATATCAAACATACCAACACAGCATGAAAACAATATTAGATAAATCTACATATCTTGTAAGTCACTATTCACAATAAAGCAAGATAATAAAACAGACGCGCACTTAGGAATGACTACAGTTACATAAAACTTCTTCAAAAAACAAGAAAATCGCATCCAGAACATTTATAGGTAAATAAATGTGATATAAAAAGTTTGAATTACTTTTGTGGCGGAAAATTTCGAAAATGCTTTTTTGGTTCATTGCATGTAACTCAGTTTCCGTCTAAAACTTAATTGTTCAGATAAAAACATCCTTGCCAGAAGATAGAGACTTTGACTTTTATCTCTGATATCCACTCCAGTCAACAAGGACGCAGCTAATGTAAGTGACCTGCGATCTAATCAGTCTTATGTAGGAAGACCGTATCAAAGCTGAAAGATGAACTCAGTGTTTTAACCAGTCGACTTGTGCCTCACAATATAAAAGTAAGTCAAACTCATCCTGTGAAGACCTGAACGACGGCAATTAGCGAATATAAGCTCAATATATTATATATATACATACGCACCTCCAAATACTCTACCCCGGTGATATATATACCTCCATCAATATATATACTCTATCTCCGTCAATATATATAATCTACCTCCGTCAATATATATACTCTTCCTCCGTCAATATATATACTCTACCCCGTCAATATATATACTCTACCTCAATCAATATATATACTCTACCGTCAATATATATACTCTACCTCCGTCAATATATATCTACCTCCGTCAATATATATATACTCTCCATCGTCAATATATATACTCTACCTCCATCAATATATATACTATCTCCGTCAATATATATACTCTATCGTCAATATATATATACTTTCTCCGTCAATATATATACTCTTCCTCCGTCAATATATATACACTCATCAATATATATACTCTACCTCCGTCAATATATATACTCTACCTCAATATATATACATATACTACCTCCGTCAATATATATACTCTACATCAGTCAATATATATCTACATCCGTCAATATATATACTCTCATCCGTCAATATATATATCTCTCGTCAATATATATCTACCTCGTCAATATATATATATGCCTCCGGTCAATATATACCTCTACGTCAATATATATACTCTACATCCGTCAACCCATATACTCTACTCTCCGTCAATATATATACTCTACCTCCGTCAATATATATATATACTCTACCTCCGTCAATATATACTCTACCTCCGTCAATATATACTCTACCTCCGTCAATATATACTCTACCTCCGTCAATATATATACTCTTTCTCCGTCAATATATATATACCTCCGTCAATATATATACTCTACCTCCGTCAATATATATACTCTACCTCCGTCAATATATATACTCTACCTCCGTCAATATATATACTCTACCTCCGTCAATATATATACTCTACCCCCATCAATATAGCTATAAAGTCTACCTCTGTCAAAATATCAGCCAGTTTTGTGTGAACTTTTGTCCTTAGAGATGTTTTGGCCACATTTATCAACGTATCTCTGTCCATATCGAATTTGACTTTGACCTTTTCTAAAACCTTGAAATGTGAAATACAAAACAAATATTAAGGTTCGTCTAGTTAATATATACAACAATTAAATACTGACTAAAGTAAATGGTTTGAACCCGGGAGTATCGTTACATGTTTGTAAATGTAGATCGTCCAGGTTGGTATAGTCCTGAGAAGGACTGTTTTTGTCGTTGTTGACTGACGTTTCGACAACCTTAGCGGTAGTCATCTCCAGAGTCAAAAGTTTTTGACTATTTACAAACATGTAAATACTGACTGTACTAAACAGTCATCGTATATCATACTAGTTACACAATTTTAACTTTTTTCAACGTTGATGTGATTTGTTAAAATACATTTTCTGTCGTTTACGAGATCGTAAATTATAATTTATTGAATATGCATACGTACCTCTAACGATTTCTCCTTTGCCAAATCAAATCCTTCTGTAACAATTCTCGGATGAAGACCCTAAATTATGAGTTTAAAAACAAAACATTTGCTTCAACAGATAAAACAACAAAATTATAAAAACTTAAACATGACCTTTTAAACTTGTTCATAAAAAGGCGTTAATTTGAAAAAGATATACAAAAACTCATGAGAGTTTAATTTATCTTCGTTTCGTCATTATCTATTCATGATGGACATCAATATCTAATGAAAAGTGAATACCAACCTCTGATATGTATAAGTCGGCCTAAAATATAAAGAAAGATTTGAAGTAAGGCCTTTTACAAGATATATGATATCAAATGAAACAAAATAATAGATTTTGATGATGCCGAGATAAAATTTTAAACATCCCTGATCTATTTAAGGAAAAAACAAAGGGTAAACGTAGAAATAAATGGACATTTCAACTTTACTATATTTAAGGTTTTCAATTGGAAAGAGTACTTATAATATCAAAGTGGATCATCATGGTTATTAATGTACATTTTCATACAATATGGGGGAATGCAAGGAACAAGTGAAATGATTTTAAATCAAGAAACAAATGAAATGAGTTAAGAATGTAATGTGTTTTTACTTCTTTATTAAATGAATTTTTCTACCCCCACAGGCAACAAGAAAATTAACAATCACGAAGAATATGCTTACAGGATAATCACATGCGATAATCAATAATAATATGTACAAGAAATCTGGTTGAATGTGCCTTTCACTACTAAAACTTTATGATAAAACCAATGTTTATCTCTATTGATATCGACTTTATTTTGCAGAAAAGATTTTAAGTACAATCGCAAAACTCCTTGATGTATACCTGCTTTAATAGATCACCAATAATCAAAACATTTGATGTTGTTCCATCACCTGTAATGTTATCCTACAATTATGATGAACAACAGATTTTGTGATTTAACTGCCAAATCATTATTTACTTTCACATTTCATAAGTTTTACCTGAGCTGTGGCAACTTTGGCAATCAGTGAGGCAGTTGGATGTTGTATTTGCTGAAATTATTTGCCAAACGATGATATTTTATCATAAAGCTGACCAAATGTACATTATTGTCTTGTCATAACAAGATAATTATATAAATTTATGTAGATTATTACCATTTCATGTAAAAGAACATTGCCATCCTTGGTAATTTTGATATCACCAGATCCAGAAACCAACCTGTTTATTATTAACATTATGAAGCTACGTAAACCAGTTTAAGTAGTGCTCAAATGGAAAAATAAATAGAAGAGAGGATCTAGAGGTATTAGTCACATCGCATTGTTGAACTTTATTTCTTCATTACTCATAAATATCCTCTAATATCCTCGGCAACCTATAGTCCCCCTCCCCCATTCGTCCCACCCTTGGGAAGAAAATCGGTTAACTCTTGTGACACTTGACAACATTTGTAATATAAAATATACTGGTCATCAATCATCACGGCATCTCAAGGAGAAGATACAATGAGTATAAAGTTAGCCAAAGACTGGCAGAAATCCTTGTTTGAAGTTCACATCCACACCCTTCAAAATGCCTAATACAATATGCTTTCATTCTTTAACGTATTTGAATTTATCATTCTATAGCTTGTGTGTTTCTCATTGAACAGGGACTCGCAGATGACAATCATTATAAACACATTATAAAGACCGTGTTGCTGGCTAACTGAACACTTTAGAATTAAACTGTTTCAACAAAGAAATCCTGACGGCCGAACTAAAGCATGTACAAACACGTGCTGCAATGACGTTACAAAAAAGCTATTTTCCATTCATCTTACATTTTCATTGTGCCTTTGGGACCAAGGTTCGTTTTAAGGACATTTTGTAGACCAACTGCTGCACTTGTGTTAACTTGTAAGGCCGCAGCTGCTCGAGCAAATTCTGCTTTGGGATTTAAAGTTTGAATCGCCGCCATGATGCTAAGTATTCTGTCATGAGAGATACACGTTATGATAATGTAGTATAACAGTAAGCAATTTGGGTCATAATACTGTACATTTGGGGGTAACTAAGTACCACAATAAGATTGTAAAAGATCATCAGAACGCATTGGGAATACATCAATTTGTAAAAATGAGATCTCTTCAAAAAAAACCCTGCTTGGTGATAATAAACTGATTGCAAAGCCTGTCTCCTAAGGAATTTTATTTTAATTTTGTAAATGTATGACCTGACATTGAGCTACAATTGGGAAATCGGGAGTACGTCTAGGGACATTAAGGGATGTCCATAATCGGGCATGCTCGTTATGATGATTCAACAAAATAACTCAGATGGAAACAGGTGCCTATTTATATGCACGAGTCGGGAAGTAGTGCCACTTAGACGAATATCAACCATGGAGTACGTTTGTATTATTAATATCTTGAGCTGTTTTTGCGCTATTGCTATTCTATTTCTACTAGCAAACGAAATTACGGCAACAGGCGAGGTCGTTTTTGCTGTAAATTGTGGGGGTCCGGATCACACAGACCTTAACGGTGTTCATTATCAGGGGGACAAACTGAGCATCGGTACAGCTTCGGACTTTGGCAAGCGATTAACGATTAGTCGTGTGGCACAGTTAGATCAAATACTTTATCAAACCGAACGTTACCATTTGTCAAATTTCGCGTACGACATTCCAATAAAGGACGATGGAGATTATGTATTGGTGCTAAAATTTTGCGAGGTTTACTTTCAAGGGCCTAAGTTAAAGGTAACTTTTCTTTCTCTGACCCCGTAAAATGTCGACTTAACCTTAAGAACAATCCAGAAGTTGTATTTTTTGAGCTGGACAATGCCATTTGTTATGCACAAGCCTCTCAACTTTGCCCATCTATAATGATGTTTTAAGTTAGTAAAAATTTGTTTTCTTTGCACAAAGTTTCCAATAGCTTCCTTCCTCTCAGCAACATAATCACCAAGATGGTTGTTTTATAGCTACCATGTCTTTAACATGGTGTTCAATTATTAATCATGGAATTTTTAGCAGATTTTTGTATGGCATAATTTTTCATTTAACCTTCACTTTACCTGTAACATTTATGGAAATCGGCAATGTTAGAAGGCCACATATAGTATACTGCCATAATGTAACTATTTCAAACACCATCATCCATTCATAATGGGGGAGCACTAGATAATGGGGACAGCACTAGACAATGGGGACAGCACTAGACACTGGTTAACTATTCTAAAAGAATTATGGTTTCATTTCTTTCCAATAAAGGTTTTGATGTCGTGTAAACAATATTTTGGTAAAGCTGTTAGATATTTATGATCGAGTGGGAAAAGCTGTTGCACATGATGAGTACATACCTTTCACCATTACAAAAGGTCAGATTTTGGTAGAGAATCAGATGACACGCTTCACTGGAAATTTACATGTGGAATTTGTTAAGGTAGGAAAGTGTGCTAGACAAAATGTAGCGATAATAAAAATTATCATTGATAGTGAATTGGCAACCTAGCAGTCAACTTTTTAAAAGCCATTTAATCATTATTCACTTTTATACTGCAAGAGTAAATATTACCTACTCAAAATGAGCTCATAAATGTTGAACATTTCTTTGATATTTAGGGGCATGATAACCCCAAGATAAATGCTATTGTTGTAATGAAAGGAAGTTTAGAAGGTTTGTACCTGTATGTACTGTAATGTACTGCAAATACCATGAAAAATAAAAATGCATGATATCTTTATCTCTAAATAAAGATGTGCCTAAACTGCCTCCGCTACCTGGACTAAATGAAAACCAACGTGGGAATTTTGAAGAAGAACAGAGTAAATCTGATGATAGACCAGAACGACCAAGAAAGACATCAGGTCCCAGATCAATGGATCCTTATGCATCGGATGAAAGCAGCCTGCTGCTTCCACTTTTAATTGCATTAGGCGTCTTTATACCCACTTTATTTTGCTTGTGTAAACTTTAGTTCTGTTAAGATTGATTTTATCTGTCGCGTTTTTCACACGTAGTAGTCGCATTCACTTAACATTTATTTATTCAAAAATTCTATTGAAAGAAAGAGACGAATATGTAAACCACAGTTAAAAGTTACGTGGAAATTTCTCAAAATGTCGTTGCTTTTGAGTTATCTTTCCTTCGTTATTTTCATCTTTAAACTATATTTCTCTTACATGGGTTCGTATGAAAAACGTGACAGGATAACCATATTTTGCCAGTTAATTTATTTGCTTGTAAAATTATTCAGTCAAAAATTACCTTAAAAAATAACGCAGACTACGATTTGCCAAAAATTTGCTTTGTGTTGTTTGGATTTTAGCAATCGCTTTATCGACAAAAAATTGATCGCTAACTTTTAAACGGAATTAACCAACATCAAAGTATGGTTTCATGTTAATTGGGATATTAAGCTTCACTCAGTCTTAAGCAACGTTCCATTGTATTTACAACTGTGGTGGTTTTTGGCTGTACCATGTCATGCGATGAGAAGGTAGATTCCAGAAGGTTGATGTACGTTCAATACAAAGTAACCATTAGACATTTCAAATTATCGACGACTTGTTGAAAAGCAAACATGTTTCGGCATACTTTATGCCATCTTTTTGCTTTTAAAAAAATCGTTTATTTGAAATATGAATTTTGTGCTAGAACGAAATTACAAATTAAACAGCACAAAATGAAAGCTACCGTTCTTTTGTATAAAACTGTTAAAGATGTTTTAACGAAGTTATGCTTGCTCGTATAATCTGAAGTTATACCTTGCGCTTCGTAAAAACGACCAGAATATGTTGTTTTAAAATTATAAAAGCTCGGCTGACTATCATCGTAAACCAAATAAGCTGCAGCGTCATCAATCCAAGACAACTCACATTACAAAGTAAAGGAATTTTAAAGGGAACTTGCCAAATTTTTATACCCACATACTGGCCATACTTGTAGTACATGAATGGAAACACAAGAATCCGACCGATGAGAAATGAAATTGCCAAACAGAAACCGTTCAGTTTAAAAATGATATTGTTGTCCACATCAAGCTAAAAACAAATTAGAAAAACAGAATAACTTATTACTAAGTAAAGCACCATGCTTAATGAATAGAGAAATGAAAGGATGGTGGTTAACCTGTAAGGTAATGAAAAAAACTATTTAAACATGGTACGATGTGTGTGGCTGGCATTGTGCTAAACTCATAGAAGCATCATCTTTTTCACTTTCTTATTTCAACACATTATTACCTTTTTAAAAATATAATGAAGAGAAAGGAATGGTGTGCTTATTTCAGCAATGTAAATACATCCAACGAAGAAAT